CACGCTCGTGGGACTGCCTCGCCACGCCGACCCTTTGAGAGCTGGGCGAAGGAGCAGCGGAAAAAGAAGCCAGGCATTCTGCGCCGTCGCGCGAAGCAAGATCCGCCTGCCCCGCGGAAACGCTTTTGCCAGGAAAGGTCGTTTCGGACCCTGCGGCCATTGCGGCTGAGAAGCAGGCGGCGCGGCAAGAAATGGCTGGACCCTGTAGATACACCTGAAGCCCTGCAGGAGGCCATCTCGGGGGCGCTCCGACGGGCTGGCGGGGGCCCCCTGGACCCCCATCGAGGCCCCCCATTTTTCTTCTCTCTGGCATCGGGCCCCCGCCAGGAAAGCTCCAGGGATCGATGTGCCCCGAGTGGCCGATGCGCGGCGTCTACCAGAGCAGGGGGGTAGAAGAGCTGGCCGCCCTTTAAATCTAGTGGAGCTGGAAGGAGTGCGGCCCGAACAGATTTTTGCCGCGATCAGTGCACTCCTGCCCGAGCCGAACCAGCGAGGCGACCGAGCGACCGGTATGCTCCCGAATGTTGTCATGCTTTGGGGTCGAGCCCGGTCAGGCCCCGTCGATGTTTGGGGCCCGGGGCTTGACCAGTTCTGGGGCACAGCGATTGCAAGCGGCTCGGCTTTGCGCGCGGCGCTGCCGCGCAGCTTGCTTGGCGAGACAGCAGTGTTAGCAGGAGCACAGGTTGTAACACTCTTGCTAGATATCGAAAAATTCTCTGATTCTCTGAGCCTGGCGATGCTAATAAAGATCGCTTATGACGTCGGGTGTCCCGCCTTGATTGTTACGCTAGAGTATCAAATCTACTTGGTGTCCAGGTTTTTGGAGACTCAAGGAGGAGCTGGCGTGGCCATATGCCCAACGCGGCCCCTCGTGGCAGGGTCACGCCTGGGCGCGCCGCTCGCGAAGCTGTCTTTGTTTCCGATTTTGGACCGTGCCCATCGGCAGGTCAGAATGCGTAGGACGTGGTCCTTCATCGACGACGCGGTCTCGAGGGCCGAAGGCACGGCAGATAGTGTAGTAGAATCCCTGGCAGCCTCTGCGAAAGTGTTGGCCGAAGGTTGGCAGGAGACAAGGCTGGCCATCTCCGATGAAGCCACGGTCCTGGCCTCATCGTCCCAGGTCAGGGCGCGGGTCAGTCTGGCGTTGAAGGCTGTCAATGTTCCGCGCGTGGTTGAGGCGTCGGCTGTTGACTTGGGGCGTGACACCTCGGTGGGCAACGTTAGAGTTCTCAAGCGTGCGAAGAGTAGGCTGGTTAAGGCCACGAAGAGATTCCGTCGCATCAGGAAGCTCAGGCGCTCGGCCAAGCCGGCAAAGATTTTGCAGCCCCTCCCCCAAGCTGTGCACGGGCACCAAGTGCATGGCGTGAGCCCGAGCCAGGTTCAAACCCTCTGGCGTCAGGCTGGCCAGGCTATCGCTGGAGCGGGGTCTGGGCGGTGTCTGACTACTGTGCTCGCCATGCACTTGGGGTTCAAAGATCCAGGGCTCGAGTTGCGGCGTCAGTTGGTCCTCGAGGTTTGTTTAGTTCGGGAATCCTCGCCAGAGCTCCATACCTGCATCCGAGCGGCGTGGAAGCATCTGACCCCCTGTCTCTGGCCTGCTAAATCGCGATGGAGTCGAGTGCGAGGCCCCGTCAGCGCGGCAATCCCGTCGCTATACGAAGCAGGGTGGATCCCGTTCGCCTCAGACCCATGGCGCCGCCCGAACGATCTAGTAGGGCTCCAGAGTGCTGCAGTCTCGGGTAGGCAGTTCACTCGAGAAAGGCAGGCGGCTTTAGGATGTGAGGTTGGCACGTTGTGCCCAAGGTGCCACCTGGGCACAGCAACTCTCGTTCACCGAGTTTGGGAGTGCCCGTGCAATGTCGGTTTTGAAGAACCCGATAAGAGCGAATGTATTAGGCAGCAGGCTAAGGCGCAGTGGGAAAGTTGTCCAGTGCTGTGGCTTAGATGCGCGCCGCCTAAGAGCTACACCCACGTCTCGTTTTTTCATGAAGAAAACCTTCGGCCCTTGGGGCCGCTCCCGATTTCCGAGGTTGAGCCGCACACCACGTTCGGGAGTGTGGTGGTTTTCGGTGACGGATCGGGGAGGACCCACAGTGCGGACCCACATAGGCGTAGGCGTGGCACCGCGGTGATCGCCATGCAGCCAGACGGCCAAACGGGCTGGAGGTTGGCGTGGGGGTTATCGACCCCTGTCGGGGGCCAGCGGCAAACAGTCTGTCGTGCTGAGCTGCTCGCGTTCGCCGTCGCGTTAAAGCATGTCCCTGTGAGTTTTCTGTTCGTGACTGACCACGAGCCCCCCATGAAAGCTTGGGGGCGGGGTCGGCATTTTTTCAGAAAAACGGAACCAACCAAGAGTTGTGCTCTCGAATTCGGGTTGCCCTCCAGACTCGGTCGACTGAGGTGAACCTTAAGTGGGCCCCCTCTCACATGGACGAAGCCACCTCTCCTAGCGAACCGATCGATCCCTACCTAAATCAGGGCAACGCCCTGGCTGATGAAGAGGCGGGGGCGGCGGCGGGGAGAGGGTGGGCGGTGTAGGTGGAAAGGGGGTGCGCCTCAGACTGGCCACTGGGATGCGAGCGCGCGCGAGGCGCGCGTTGGCTCTGGCGGCTGAAGCCGACCCATGGAGTGGGTCTCGGGCCGCGGTCCAACGGAGAGCGCCCCCGTCGAGAAGGAAGATGGCGCTGCAAGCCTCTGGCCATTGTTTCGAGAAAAGCGAAGGCGCATGGAGGTGCAGCGTGTGCGATATTGTGGTGCCTGCTTCTCGCCTCGTCGAGGCCGTCAAGACCCAGTGCCGAAGCCTCCCTGTCTGTGCGGTGGGGGCGAAAGGCGGTGGGTTGGCGGCGGGGCGGGAAGTGCACCCCTCCCACACCGTCCAGAGGTGGGAACGGTTCCTCATGAGTTTTTGCACCACCTGTGGCAAGTATGTCACGGTGGATGGGCGCCACTTGGCGGCCAAGTGTGAGGGCATGTCCCGAAAGGGCCAAGAGAATATAAGCCGCATCGAGGGGGCAAGTACCCCCGCAGAGAAGGGGTACCGAAGGCCCTGCAGGCAGCCCTCGATGCGCGTGATCTCGGAAGCCTGTCGAGAGCGTACGAGAGGGCCGCTGGGCCCCAGGGAGGGGACGGAGGACCGTCCGCCGCTGCTGGGTAGTTGGCCCTCCTGCGGAGGGCAAATCGGCCAGTAGCTGTTGCGGGGGTGTGGCGGTGAGGCGGGGCTCCGCCTGCACCAAAGCACCCTCGTACGGGGTTCTGCCTTCCTCTCCCTCTCCTTTCCCCCCCCGAACGACTGTGCTTGGTCAGATGGTCCAAATGGTCCTCCTCCTCCTCCTCCTCCTCCTCCTCCTCCTTCTCCTCCTCCTCCATCTCCTCCTCCCCCTCCTCCTCCTCCTTCTCCTCCTCCTCCTCCTACTCCTCCTCCTCGGGTCGCCCACGGCCCCGGGGGAAACCGTGCACCGGGCCCCAACGCCGATGCGAGCCCTTCGGAGAAATCCTCCACGCTGGGGCCCCGGTTCGCCGCTGGAGCGCGCCGGCGCGCGAAGGGCGCCCCGCGAGGGCTCCGACTGCGGGGGCTCCGCGAGGGCGCGCCGAGGCTCCGGGCGTGTGCGCCCGGTGCTGGCGGCGCGCAGAGGGAGGCACGGCGGGGGCTTTCGTGGAGGAGTGTGCGCAGGAGGCTGCAGGCCCTGGAGGGTGCCTTACCTGCTGAGGGCGGCGGTGGCATCCATGGCCAGGCCTCGAGTGGCGTTTCACCGGCTTCCAGACCACGGATGCCTGATGCAATGGATCCTTCTCCCATGCCCTCACCGTGCAGCCAAGCAGTATAGATTACAGTGGGGGCCCGACCACAAGAGACCTTCCACAAGAAGCCCAGCCCGGAGACCCCAGGACCTACACCGAGTTTTGGTGCGGGGGCGTCACGCCTTCTGCGGCAAAACCATCGAAACCCACGGCACCCTGGAGGCAAGCAGGGTGTTTCTTGGCATGGGCCCCAACTGTAAGGATGCGCGATGAAGATGTGTAGGGGACAGGGGGACCAGCTCTGGGGGATCCAGCTCAAGGATCAAACACGTCGACCTGGAAGATCGGCGATGCACCGCCGAGAGCTCGGCGATCGGACCCCCGATCGCGCACCCGCGCGCTCCTGGGCGGGGTGGGGCTATCAGGCACCTATCTTGGCGGCGCGCGGAGGGGGGTTGGGGGAGAGGGTAGGGTAAGGCTTCTTACGAGGAGGCTGCTTCTTGGAAGGCACCAGCCTTACATCTACAGAGAAGGGCCGCGCCTTCTAAGAAGCAGGGGTGCTTTTCAGAAGCCTTCCCCCCTCCCACTACCCCCCTCTGCGCGTGGCCGACTGTGTACGAGGCGGGAGGGTGTCCACATCCACGGCCTGTGGAACCGACGTCCGAGACATCAGCGGGCGTTGGATGTGGTCACACGTGGGCCCCATCGGGGCCCGAACAGATCCATATCCACTGCCTGCTCACGCACCCGAAGATCTGCGGTGAGCCCGGAGGGGAAGCGAGAAGGAGAAGGTCTTCTCAGAAGGCTCGGAAGCACCCCAGCCTTCTGGAGAAGTTTCCTGAGCCCCCCCCGAAGACGCAGAAAACCTCTTTGAAGGCGCGAGGGCATAGGAGAAGCCCTGCCACCGTCTGAGCAGGCCTTCTCCTTCTCACTTACCACCCTCGCTCGCCCGCCGAGAAGGGCGATCCCCCGGGCGGCGGTTACGGGTACATCCCAGCCTGGGAGTCGATTCTTGGGCAGGGAACGACCGTCCCCGCATTCCTATAGGCCTACCACGACATGCTCTTAGAACCCAAAAAACCGTGCAACAACAAAAACGATGTTCTTAAACCATGAGCCCGATGTGTGGAAACAACATAATATCGGCCATACATGTCATGATAACATTTCGTGCAGACCACAAGAGGTTCTTAGAACATTCTTTGGTGGGCCTATAGGCACGCCAGGACGCTTCGCCACTGCCTGACTGTTCTTCCTCGAGCTCCTGCGCGAGGACGGGGACGGCCGCAGGGACCCGCGCGGCGGGCAAGCCTTGGGCTCGTAGCCCCGCTGGCCTCCGATGGCGTAGCACAGGTACAGGATGGCTTGCAGGCGCAGAGGTTGGCACCAACACCACTGTTTGGGCGGCTGCCTCCAACGCGGGAAGATGGTCCCGATCCGTGTGCCCATCGGTCGGAAGAAGCAGGTGCAGTCAACCTGCACAGTGAGGACGCACGATGAGGATGCAGGGGCCTCGGAGGCCCACACCGAAGCCTTTCGAGCGGGGCGTGGCCAAGGAACGTGGCCAAGGATGAACCGAGGAGGCAAGGATGCAAGGGTACCAACAGGTCGGAAGAAGTAGGTAGAAGCATCAAGTAGGAAGGCGTTGAAAACAGATTGGGTTCCGTCCACCCCAAAAGGAGGACGGAGAAGGTGAAGCCACTCGATCATTGAAATGGGAAGGCTCTCAAAGTAGATTGGAATCTGGGATTCCAAAACTCCCCACTATCAACGACCGATGGGTACCCCTGGGAAGGCTGCCCATCCCTACCGTGCGGGCTGCATGCAGGACCAGGAGGCAGGAAGGCGCCGGAAGCAGAACCGGGGCTCCGTCCGCCCCTCTGGGGGGGGGGGGGAGAAGGTGCGGCCGCTCGACCCCTGAGGCAAGAAGGCGCCTCTGAAGTAGACTGGAAGCCGGGACTCCCCACAACACACGCCGTTCATCAATAATCGTGCTCCTTCCTAGTTTCGGGGAGACGTAAGACCCGGGTACGGGGGACTCGGAAATCCCCGACGAGGTCGTCAAAAAAATGACGAGGCCGAGCCTGCATTTTGACGAGGCCTCCCGCTGCAGACATCCCACGAAACTCCCACTCGTCAAAATCCGAATCGCGGTCGTCAAAAAACGATGGCGAACCCGAGTCCTGGCAAACCCAGGTCTTACGCTCCCCCGAATCTCTAATCGTGCTCCTTCCTAGTTGTGCTCGCTTCTGACCGTTCCTGGCCCCCCTGGCGGCCAGGAAAGAGGCCCAGGATAGAACGATCAGAAGCGAAAGGGTCCTGCCCCCCCCCCCAAAAAAAAAATCGATGAGCGTTCGAATACTTCGGAATGAGCCATGTGCACCTGCTTTCAACGACCGATGGGTGATGGCGATAGTGATCGGGCTTCGCACGTGGCCGAATCGCTGCCACCGGCACCACAGTCCCAGCAGCCCTCCAGGGCGTGAATGGTCGAGGGCGTTTCCTCTTCCAGCCCCCCCTTCCTTCCCCTTCGGGGACGGGAGGGGTCTACCCTCCACAATTGCACAATATGAAGACTGCGCTTCTCTCCCTCCCCTGATGACGTCCGGAAGATGTTCGGCCCGCCTCCGCGTAATGTGTTTTACACAGGGCTCCCGGGAGTTGGCTTCTCGCTTGAGTGTTTGTCAATATGTTGCTCCCGCTGCAGTGCTGGCCTCATTTCCGCGCTTCCGCTCGTTCCGAATCGTGCTCCCGCTGCAGCGCTGGCCTCATTTCCGCGCTTCCCCTCGTTCCGAATCGTGCTCCCGCTGCAGCGCTGGCGTCATTATTTCCAGTGCCATGCCACAGCATGCAATGCAATGCTATGTGGCTTTCCGCTGTGCGATGCCATGCCTTCAGCTGCAATTCTAGGATATACAGTGGTTGGCTACGCAGGGTCACGCCATGCCATGCCATTCTACGCTTTGATATTCAACGCCATGCTATGCCATGTTCTGTTCTGTGCCGCTGTGCGATGCAATTCTTTGCGTTGCAATGCTTTGTGTTGCATTTTCCATTACGCAGCGCCACGCCATGCTATGACGTACTACGCTCTGCCGTGCTCTTCTACGCCCTGCTACGCCGTGCTCTGCGATGCATTGCGCACCCTCTCGGGATCATTGCCCTGCTCGGCATCCAACTGTGCAAATAGAAAGGAGATCTACGCCATGGTAGGGGATGGGAGGGAAGGGTACGACGTCAGATATGACGCGACCGCACCTAGCTTGACCAACCCCGTCCCCTGGACCTGGACGGGGGGGTGCGACCGATTGGGGCGTCCAAGAAGGCATCGGCGAAAGGCACAAACCATTGATTGTATGAAGGAGCTGGGCCTACGTTGGCCTCCTGGGGGGGCGACGCTACTTTGGTATACCCCCCTTATTTGATCGATCTCCTCCTAAATGGCCCCAAAGATGGCCCCTAAGGCTCCCAAGCGGGCCCCCCAAAAGGGCCCCAGGAGAAATTCCCAAGAGGCCCCAAGAGGCTCCCCCAAGGTACCCAAGACGCTCCAAGAGGACCCCGGGACCGCCACTAGGCCCCCAAGACGCCCCAAGAGGACCCCAAGAAGCTCTCAAGAGACATCCGAAGAGACCCCGAGAGGCGTCCAAGAGGCCTCTGGCCTTTTCCGTTCGCCATCCTCCTCCTCCTCCTCCTCCTCCTCCTCCTCCTCCTCCTCCGATTCCTCCTCCATCCTCCCCCTCGTGGGGTATGACGGCTTGCCCAACCCCTTTTTCCAGGGCATGCTCCTCCGCATCCCTGATCAAGGCAACTCGCCTAGGCATCAGTTCTGGATGGGCTGGTGGGGTTACGCGAGGCACCCGGAATCTAGCATCATCTCCCCCCAGTGGAAACAGTCCCCTGTGCTTGTGCTGGTGCCGATTTCCAGGCCTCCAACATGGATGTGGCCAGGGCGAAGGATAAGGCGACCACGCTCCCCCACAGCACGGCCAGGCTCAGACCCCCGCCAGCGGACCTGTGGACGCCGGCGTGCTCCTGAAGGAGCGAGCTCCCCAGAACGTCCCGCTCGTCGCGCGCCGGAATGCCGGCAGCGGGCTCCCCGGGAGCCGAGGCGGAGGCAGCGCCGGTGCTGTGGTAGTCGCGAGCCTGGGCGGGGGCGAAGGACTTCACAGCTGCGCCAGTCGATAAGCAGGCACACGCGACGAGCCAGCGCGCGAGCCAGTGTGGGCCATGGATACGATAGCAGGCGGGACAAAACATGTAAGCGATGGGAGTGTTCAGCCGCCGAGGCGGGATGACTACGGTAGGCCGAGGCCCGTGCACGCCCGAGGCCGTGCACGCAAGAGAAAGAAGGCGGCTGGAGTGCCCGCAATTCAGCCAAACGCTATGAAGAACGAGGATGGGGGGGAGGTCTCATGCCATCTCTCGGCGGACCCCTTCTCTACCATCTCCTCGGCTCACCTTGCCCCCACCCTCCCCCTTCTCCTCCTCCTCCTCCTCCTCCTCCTCCTCCTCCTCCGCCTCCCCCTGCTCCTCCTCTTCCTCTTCCTCATCGTCAGCCCTTGATGAGCTCGTCCCAGATTCAAACCTTTTGTCTTGGTCAGCGGCTGCTTTGCACTGCAGACGTGTCGGATCTGACTCTATCCTCCCCCATCCCCCTCCTTCTCCTCCTCCAGCTCCTCCTCCATCTCCTCCTCCATCTCCTCCTCCTCCTCCGCCTACTCCTCCGCCTACTCCTCCTCTTCCTCTCCATCCCCACCGTATCCGAAGACGAGGCCGACACTCGGGGAGGGCGAGGAGGTCGGGGAGGGTGAGAGCTCCGGAGGGCGGGGGAGCGGGGACGGGTCGCCGCGCCCCGGGTGCTGGATCCCCCGTGAGGGTTGCGTGCCCATCGTGGGGGACCGACCTGGAGGCCTTCCAGATGGGGTCCGAGCAGACGGGGTCGGAGGATCGCGCCGCATCGCCGAAGCATCGCCGATGCGCCGGCGATGCGCCGGCAACGACGGCGATGATCATCGGCGACGTCGGCGTAGGGAAACACGGTCTCCACATCCAGCCGCATCGCCGATGCATCGCCGATGCGGCGCGATCCTCCGACTCCATCTAGTCGGACCATATATAGGAAGCCTACACGAACTCTATCCACCGACGCTTTTTCTGGCCACGCATTGAAATTTGCATCAGAAAACGGATCCTGGTGTATACGGGACCCTGGTGTATACACTTTTCGCTGTTACCTAACAGCTTTTGCTGATAGGTTTCTAGTGGACTCAAAAGAGAGCACCTGATGACTCCACAGGGGGGTCTGGGCGGGTGCCGGGGAAAAGAACCGGGAACAGAGCCGGGCTCGTTTTAAGCCAACAGTCACACACTTCGTGCTCTTCGACCTCCCAGAACTCCATTCCCGGGCTACATTTTGGATGCCGGGAGCCAACTGTAGCCACTTCGTGTTCTTCGACTTCCCAGAACTCCATTCCCGGGCCACATTTTGGATGCCCGGAGCCAACTGTAGGCCACTTCGTGCTCTTCGACCTCCCAGAACTCCATTCCCGGGCCACATTTTGAATGCCCGGAGCCAACTGTAGGCCACTTCGTGGTCTTCGAGTTCCCAGAACTCCATTCCTGGGCATGATTTTGAATGCCCGGAGCCAACTGTAGGCCACTTCGTGTTCTTCGAGTTCCCAGAATTCCATTCCCGGGCCACATTTTGAATGCTGAGACAGGCTGAGGCTGAGGCTGAGGCAGGCTGAGGCTGAGGCAGGCTGAGGCTGAGGCCGAGGCTGAAGGCAGACTGAGGCTGAGGCTGAAGCAGGCTGAGGCTGAGGCTGAGGCAGGCTGAGGCTGAGGCTGAGGCAGGCTGATGCTGAGGCAGGCTGAGGCTGAGGCTGAGGCTGATGCAGGCTGAGGCTGAGGCAGGCTGAGGCTGAGGCCGAGGCTGAAGGCAGACTGAGGCTGAGGCTGAAGCAGGCTGAGGCTGAGGCTGAGGCAGGCTGAGGCTGAGGCTGAGGCAGGCTGATGCTGAGGCAGGCTGAGGCTGAGGCTGAGGCTGAGGCTGAGGCTGCAGGCTGAGGCTGAGGCAGGCTGAGGCTGAGGCGAGGCTGAGGCTGAGGCTGAGGCTGAGGCTGAGGCTGAGGCTGAGGCAGGCTGAGGCTGAGGCAGGCAGGCTGAGGCTGAGGCTGAGGCAGGCTGATGCTGAGGCAGGCTGAGGCTGAGGCTGAGGCTGATGCAGGCTGAGGCTGAGGCAGGCTGAGGCTGAGGCCGAGGCTGAAGGGCCTGAGGCTGAGGCAGGCTGAGGCTGAGGCTGAGGCAGGCTGAGGCTGAGGCTGAGGCAGGCTGAGGCTGAGGCTGAGGCTGAGGCTGAGGCTGA